GTGAACAGAAATTATTAAAACTTTATATGTTCCATTTAAGTTTTTTTCCTTTTCAATTTAAAGCAAGTGACGTTGTGACTAATTGGTATCAGGAATCCTCACGATTCAAATATGGCCGTGAACCAGTCAGTATACAGGGTATTGGTGAGTTCATTTTCGTAATTTTACGTTTTAAATTTGGCGTAACGAATTTGTAGCTGTCTGATCGATTTAAAACTCACCTTCTTAAAACCTTGCCTTTCTGTTATTGAAGGGAAGATAATCAAATCAATCATAAAAAATGCTATATTTTATGAATAGATTTAACAATGTTCAGATTACGGTTATGACGCTATAAAATATAAAATAAAAAATTTTTAAGCAAAATATATATATATAAGTGTTCCTATGGAACATTAAATTCATTTTGTTTATCATAACCAGATTAATATTCTTTTTTTGTCTTGTGTATCTCTTGTACAATTTGTTTAGCAATTGGAAAGCTGGTGATATTTAGGAATTTATTCTAGACCAAATATTTTATGTATTGTACCTTAAGAGCTGAGAGACTGTTAATAGATATCAAGCCAATAAGGACTGTGACATTTACGCGATTTCTCATCGTTACCAAATGCCAATTTTTATGTTTCTCTTACTAAATGTCTAATTTGTCGCCCATAAAAATATCTTTTAATTGTTAATTTATTTTCATCATAAATAGTGATATATGGAAAATCTAGTTAATGACAGTCTGTTATATACACTTTTTACAAATTTTGATCTTTGATAATGTGGGGAAAAGACAATTTTTTAATCAATTTTAAAAACAAATGTTTTCCCTTTTTTGGAAAAAAGGTTGTGTTTTGGGCTTAAGGAAGACAGTTTAGTTTGGAGATTCTTTCCCACAGCAAATGTCTTTTCCTAGACAATTAACTTTTCAACTTTTGAGTCCAATAAGAGTTAATAAGCCCTGGGGTATATAACCTTAATTTTTTCCTTTCAAATAATTTTACCATTAGTTAAGAACTTTGCTAAAAATGGGGCGTGCATTTCAACTGGATTTACAAAGATTATGATGAAGGCCGTTCGGACACTGCACCGTAGGCCTCTTGACATTTTACTTTACCTGAATGCTTTACTTTGCACATTCTATCCTAACTTGCATTTAATTGCGAATTTTTCTCCTATTCCGTGTTATTAAGGCGGCATTACTTTAGGTCATAAATTGACAAAACAATATTTCTAAATTTCACCAGGCAAATATATTTACACAAAATAAATTCTTGTTAAAGCTGAAAATATTTTACTTTTTTTGTAGGAAACTTCACCCAGCTCGTCTGGTCATCCTCTCGCAGTCTCGGTGTGGGTCGGGCAGTTCGAATTGCTCGGAACGATGAGTCAGCGGCGGAGCGAGGCAATCCCTACTCTTCTAAAATCGTGGTTGTCTGTTTTTACTTCCCTCCTGGCAATGTAGCCTCTTACTTTACAGAGAATGTTCATATGCCCCTTGAAGAGGCAAAACTCTCCGAGCCCTCTACACCCACGCCTTCCGATGCGCGCAACTCCACCCCTACAAATCTCACTTGATTCTTGTATCTCTGCCAATCTATTTATATATAAATATCCAAACCAACGCCTTCTAACTTCCTTGATTCACCTTACTAATGTTATCTTCCGCCTGCCTAATTTTATTAGCTTGTGTGCGTGTTGGTGATCAAAAGACAAACTGATGATCCGCCTCCTGTTCCTTCGCCACCCCTTCCCCTACACCCTCCTCCCTAGTCCCGCTTGTTCACACTGCTTTCTATTGCTCAACACCACAAATTAATAAAGGTATTTTTATTAAAGCCTGGTTTTGTTTTTGTTCTGATCACATTCGGTTGTGGGAACTTTTGGCACTTGAAAATATAAGCATTAAAGGAAATGGCAGATATATATATATATATATTTATATCAAATGGCAGGCGTTTTGATTGTTATCATTAGCCCTGGAGCTGTCTTCGGTTCTTCACAGAGAGGAGAACGGACATCAAAGTGACAAAAAGTCGAGATGGGAGACAGACTAATGATTCAGAGGTAAAAGAGGCAGAAAGACACAAAAGGCAGAGAAAAGGCTAGATGAATACTGTGGAAGGGGTCGAATATGACAAATAGTCGGGCCACAGTAGTTTGAAGTCAGAAGTCAACTGGCGATCAATAGACTTTTTTGTCGTTTAAGTATGCGTTGCCCAGGGTGCACCACGTGGAGGTAAGTCTTTTGCGCATCCCTCATTTAACCCTTTTACGCCCTTAGGACCGTATGGTCCTTTTTCAAAATAAGCTCCATTAGTACTAGACATAAGGCACTATTGCCGTTTGAAACGTGTTTAATGCGTGTCTTTGTAGCCTTCGTTTGTTGCACAGAAATTTATCCCGTCGGCAGTATATTTATGTATTAATAAGAATACCAATTCATCCTGTGTAAAACAGACTCCACTGTGTAAGTTGACATCGTCTTGTCCTTCCCAAGATTTCCTTCATTGGATACCAATAAAATTATGTTAAGATTCTTAATTACGTTGTTTGCGCTTTGTGCGTGTTCATTTGTTTCCAATGGTGGTCATGAGCTAAGTTTTTCGTTCTATAAAGTTTACCTCCTGATTACATATATATTAAGTGTGCATGCTATTGTATCTCAATTTGGAACCTAATATGCTACTCTAGCGTAGATTTTATTAATGTCACTATGACATTCTGATAGGCGACAGCTAGCAAATTTTACCATTTAGAAATTATTTACCGCAATAAACAAAATCTTAATTGCAAAGTCAGCCATTCCTGCTTCATTTTCCTTCATAGAAGCTTATTCACGAAGTCACTTGAAAAATATATATCTCTTTAATAAACGAAGGTCACCTTCGTGGTATGATATCTATTGCTGTTCCAAGTGAAATTGTAATTAGAGAAGGTAAAACGGTAAATTAGATTTTGTATCCGATGAGAAATTACGCAGAGCCTGAACGGAGCAAAGCTCATTAAATTACTGTGGGTACTGATACTTTCTGCTCACAAATATTTCATAAGGAGTGCATTCCCCTAATTGTTGGCTGGATAATGTCCCCTATGGAATGCCACTTGCACTCCGATTCTGATTTACACATTGATTCCCCCAAAATATTCTTAAATGACCACATGAAAATAGGATTCCAGGAAGTAATGACCACCATTTCTAACCTCGAAAAAGCCAAAATAGTAATGTATTATCTTTACACGGTTTGCTTATCGAAAATTTAGAACTTCAATCTGGGGTGGTGATGATGTTTGTAGTAAATTTCTACAATGCTCAGTTATTGATTTCGGAAAAAATTCAGTGTTTTTTACCTAAGTTATCTTTCTTAATTAAATTAATGGGACACGAATTACTAACTTAAAAAACTCGTACACTTTTAAAAAGTGAATTCACGTGACTTATACTTGACTTGTCCGTCAATTAAGCTGGACCAACTTTTCAAACAAAAGGTTCCTTTATACTAAAGGCTTTGCATGCAGAAGTTAAAGTTTTCATTTATCTCAATTTAAGTTACTTAAAGTATACAAAAGTGCATTCAACCAGCTTATCTAATTTTGGTCTTTCCTCATCTTGAACGTATCAATTCAAAATTGTCTTCATTTTGCCAGTTGGCACCAAAGTTGGCGGAAAACATCAGTAATTGTTGTTTTAGAAAATACTGTTAGATCTCTGGCAACATTACGATACGAACCACGTTTCCGAAATAAAATAACACGATATTTTAAGTTGCATAATCCTCAATTTTCTAAATTTCTCTATCCATTTATTGAAAGTTTAACTTAAAAAACGACTATCCATTTGAATAATCTCTGAATGTCCAAATCGCAAAGGAAAACAATCGAGCAAATACACTTTTTTTAAAGGTTCACTTATTTCAGACACCTTAAATATAACTCCCCCCCCCCACCCTTTTATTTTTATAAGAAAATGAGCCTGTTACCTTTGCAACATATTAACTTTTTTAGATTTTTAAATCGATGACACTAAGGCGAACACGTGTGAAATTTGGAAATTAAATTTACACCCCAAATTTTATCGATCGCCATTCGACACAATTT